CCGGTTCGAGGACATGGCACGGTACATGAGACAGGTGGCCGAGTCCGGGGCGCCCATGACCAAGGACGAGGACAACATGCTGGCTGCAGCGTACAAGCACGTGCTGGACACGAAGCGCTCGTCCAGGCGGACGCTTGTGACGGTCGAGCAGAAGGACGGCATCGCGGCGTGGGAGGCCACGGTGGCCCGGCAATACCGAGCGAGCGTCGACGACGAGTTGCGCGAGCTGTGCACCGAGGTGCTGACCGTGGTGGACGGCTGGCTGAAGTCCGACCGCCCGGAGGCCTCGGACGACCCGGCCACCGGCGTGTTCTACTGGAAGCTGTGCGCCGACTACAACCGGTACGCGGCCGAGGTGATCGACGACCCGGGCGACCGGGCCGCGGTGGTGGCCATGTCCAGGGCCGCGTACGTGCGGGCCGACCAGTTAGGCCGTACGACCCTCCGGCCCATCGACCCGATCCGGCTCGGGCTCATGCTCAATTATTCCGTGTTCCTGTACCAGGTGTGCCAACAGCGTCGGCAGGGCCACGACGTGGCCAAGCACGCGTACGACGAAGCCGTAGCCGAAATAGATGCCATCGACGATTCCATGTACGACGACTCGACGCTCATCCTGCGGCTCATCCGCGACAACCTGACCATATGGGTCCAGGAGAACGGCGGCGAGTCGTTCGCCACGGCCTGCGAGCACCGGACGGCGGTTGCGGACCAGACGGCTGTTACGGTGGGCACCCAACAGACGTCCACGGTGCCGGCGGAGGACCGAGTGCCTACGGCGGCGATGACCACGTCCACCTTGATGCTGACGCTGTCGCCACCGACCGTCACCGACGAATCGCAACACGACCTCGATCGCCAATCGTTGCAGGACAACACTAATTAAAAGCCGAACACTATACCCTAATACGTCGCAACGTTTTGAAATAAAACCGTTTGTCCGCACGTTATAATATATCTATCTATATATATATATATGTATATATGTATATACACGTATATACGAGTATATACGTCATCGTCATATTATATGCAAGTGGCTGAAGACAGTCGCTGAAAATTGTAAATTTTCTTGATATGGTGCTTTTGATGTAATTCCATCCAAATTATTTACGTAAAGTTTACTCTAGATTGTCTTTGAACATACTCTATGATGCGTGTCTTTGAGCTTCGGATTTCTATTGTAATTTTACTTATACGATGTTAGGGTTAAATGCATACACAACTTACACTGTAATATGCAAAACGTGCGTAAAATAAAAAAAAAACTGAAAAGATTAGGCAAACCAGTTTTCAACAAGATTGATTTTTTTTTTTTTTTTTTAATTAAAAATTACGTTTTATTTAAAAAATATATATAATTTTTAATTTTAACAGGTAAAATTTTAAAATTAAATTAAAGGCTTATCACTCAAAATGTTTTTATAAAATATGTACAATGTACAGTTTTATACATTATACATCTTATAAATTAATTTTAATGTATCCTTTATCCTCTTTTCTACAACTTCTGTATACACATACAATGTCTATGGGTAAAATTAAGGAGGTCAAATAACAAAATTTTCAAAATATAAATGAAGATTTAATGTTATTAATAAGTATACAGTTTATATAAAAAAAAAAAAAACCGGTAAAAGTAAATAGTTTAATTAATATTGTAAACGAAGTCAGGTATTAGTCAATAATCAAAACACAAAAAAAATACGCCTGTATGAAGAGCGATAGGCAACTCAGTTTTCTTATACTAAATGGAATGGAATGGCAAGTAAACAACAATATATACACAGTTAATTCGACGATTAACGATGATGAGGAAACAAAATTAAAATGAATTTGAGAACGATAGGGAGGGCAAGTGGCCAATTTTATCTACTATTAATACAAGTAAAAAAGTTTAATTATTATAATACGGGCTTCATCGTGTTATTGATTTGATACGAAATCTTTTTTAAAAATTTGAAAATTTAATACAAGGTTCCTTATAAATTTTTATATTGATTAAAATATAAGTATCGAAATTAAATATTCATGATATTTTTTTACACGCGCTTAAAGTTAGAGTTTTTATAGAATTTATTAAATTTCGAATATTTGCTAATTATATTGATGATAGAAATAAAAATTAATTTTTATACCTAAAATTTGAAAAATTAATACAAGATTCTTCATAAATTTGTCAAGCTATAGTAAAAAAAAAATTGCCAAATAGTTAAATACATTTTTATATTTGAAGTTCATATTTAGGCAAAATTACTTACTTGAATAACTTTAAATATTAAATAACAATAATGATGTAAATATTGTAAATTATTTTTTATAGTTTTGTTTATTATTTCAAAAATTGAATTTGTGGGGTCTTAACACTTAACATTACACATTTTATTGTATCTTATGACATTTTCAAAATATGAAGATTACTTATTTTTAATAGCTATTACAGTAAGGTGGTACCTATCGGATCAAAATTTAAAAATACTATATAATATATTATACTATTATGATATTTAAATATTAATAATATAATAAATGTAATGTTTTAGATACTAATTATACTAATAGTAAAATAAATAAATTTAACATAAAAAAATCATACCATGAAATCTACTTAATGATATTACTATATTAGGCTGATGGGCTGTTTAGAATTATTTTTATATTTAGTAATATAGATATTAATTAGGCATTAGACTACCTAACTAGTGACATGTTATCACTATAACACGATAATTATTATATTAATATATTAAAGCCAAATGTTAATTAATTTTTTTGTGTCAGTGTCCTGTGTCAGAGTAACATTACTTTATATTACTACCCTCAACCATCATGTCAGCATTTTTGTTTACTACAACATAAACAATTAAACATGTTTTAAACGTTTTATTGATTGTTTAAAACGAATAAAATTTATGTTTTATGTTTTAAACAGTGTACAATCCAAGTGATTATTGTGTAAATAATATCAATAAATCTAATTATAATAAAATTAATTTTTCATATTTTAAATTATAATGAAAATTATATTATCGTTTCATCAATGTTTTCACATTTTATTAGCTGCAGAAAAAGGGCCAAAATATAGGCAATATTATAAACGACCCAAACTATTTTTTCCTGCGAAGATCCATTCGTTATATAAACTTATATATAAATTATAATTCGGCCTATTTTTTTTATAATCAAATGATTGTAGCATAGGACGTGACAGCAGTAATCATTACCGAAATTCGAGTAAAAAAATTATAACCATTCATAACCTAGGTATGGTGTCGTTTTCATTTTCTTTGGAGTTCATTCTTCCATTCACAAGTAAACAATAACCCGATTGGCTGATTTAGCGTCATTTCTGTATTGTCCTGAGGAAATATCATAGAAATAGAGAAATATTATATTACTCTATTGGAATTATATTATGGTTTTATGTATATTTTGTAATTTGTAATTTGTAAAATGTAATAAATATTTATAATACTGAAATAATACTGTTTTTATAATTTATGACAAAAAAATAAAATTCTTCATAGGTTAAACAGTGACACCATAAATGGTAAAAAAATAAAAATATCCAAAATAAGGTAACACTAGAGATATTCAATACATCTAACCATTTTGGCGCATAATGATGATACTTGTTGTATAGTATTAGTTATTGATTTGTATTTTCCTCCTTCCGAGTCCTCACTCCTCACTCCAGTCTCCTTCAGTAGAATTGTATGTCTTGTTGGTGCGTAATTTTGATGTGTACAAATCTCATTAACAACGAACTACAAACGAAAATCGGTCAAGTGATTTGAATATATGATTTCTTAATTCGTGGTTGAAAACCTAGTAAGTAATAAGTATAAAGCACATGATCAGTAGATATATTTGATGATATACTTACATATTATGACCATGCGCCAATGCATAATATTATAATATATAATAATAATAAATTTATACTATCTTTATTCTAGGTAATGTCATCATAGAACAATATTATACATCTTGTTTGCGCTATAAAGTATAATCAAACTTTTGTGGTCATTAGTTGCAGTCACAATTTATTACAATTCAGTAAGTACGATACCTAATTAGCATTTGAACTACAATAGTGTATAATTTTTTTAATATAAATGTAATTTAAAAAATTAAATGGTCTGTAATGGTTTCATAGCGGCCAACGAATAATATTTTGACGATAATTTAAGAACTTTACTTCTTAATATGTTATTGGTATGTACCATGTGGCATGTACAGTGTAGTGTGAACTGTTGATAATAATATAATGTGTTATAATTGTGCATCTAACTTATCTATAATAGGCTCACGAACACGATTTGTACATTCATTAACTATAGTTTAATAATTATTTTATTTAATGAATTGACCTATCGAAATATTTTTTATATCTTCATTTTTCTTAGTAACTTAATGTTATGGTAGGTAATAATTTTATTTTATCTTTTATATATTATAAGGAATAAGTTAAACTTTCAAAACTGCATCCTAATAATTTTAATTTATTATAGTTGATTTTTACTTCACAATTTCTTTCAAGCAAAAGGGAAGCTTTGTAGATTCATATATTGTTTAAAGAATATTTTTGTTTCTTGGTATACTATAAGTCTATAAACCTTCAATATACTGGGTATAGGCCAAAGTTTATGTTTGTACTGTGTTTTTAACCTTTACTATTTTTGATTAGTGTAACAAATTGAAGGCGTTACTTAAAAAAAAAACTATTTTTTAAATGAGAACGTTCTGCTTATTATTAGCGGCGGAACAATATGTCCTATACCATAAAATGAGTAATTATTTATAGTTGGTCTCCAACGGACGGCTACTATCTACGCCGCCGTACATACAGATAATTCAATAATTCAATATTATTGACAACCTACATTATACGTATTTTTAGTAATTATTAAAAAATTGAATTAACGGTATTACAGCGATGATAAAAATGATTCTATGTTCATGGTTTACGCGTTATCTACATGACTACGCGTATCACATATCGGTTAAATGATAAGTGCAGAATATTGTGTCATGCACGGTTGTAAATAACTAAAACAGTAATACTTTGACACTAAAACATTATTAATTTTTATTTTTATTATTATTTGGAGTTTGTAGAGTGACAGAGCCTACTGCATAGGTGCAAATTACAAGCGGTGGAACACGGATTACCGATCTATATTACTCTGTACTCGGGTGTGTATACTATACAGTAAACAGTACATTACTATCCGAACTCATTGTTATACAATTTTGGCTGTCTGAATACATTTTAGGTAAGTAAAATTTAATTCAATCTTCCGATAATTTGTTCTAATCGATTTTTGATACTTTTGTGAACAGAGTTTGATATTGTTTTGAATACCTCAATCATCATCCGTCTACAATTTTTTGAAATACACTGTCACACATTTTGAAGTAAGTAAGTTAAACATCAATAGCAACATACAAACCTATTAAAAAATTGACTAGCACATGCCCGTCATCAACCCTATTCATATCAGCGCGTGTTAGGCTATACCATTTTTACATTGTTTATCGTAAACGTTTACATTTATAAAAATAACTACTGCTGTTCTATTTTAATAAAACTGGTATTTTTAGAATCAATTATTCGTAAATAATATCATTAAAAAAAATTACAGACCATTCGGTTGTCTGCTGTCTCACGCTAGATTTAAATACGATACTATGTTTTTATTGATTCTAAGATAATATTTGTATTACACATTTATATGTGAATTATCTTTTAGTATACGTTTAATAAGAAATATGAACTTCTCGTAGTCATCAATTTTATGTTTAAAATATAAACTTATTAAGTTGAAGAATTTGATTATGTTTTTTTTTTTTTTTATAATGATCAAATATCTTGTTTATGCCATGGTTCAATTTAAATATTGTTATCTCCAAGTCTTACAGAATTAGATGCATTTAATATTGATGTTACTGTGGCAAAGGGTGACCTAAGTGACATCACATTAATAGTATGATCTAAGTTGCCAGAAACCCAAATAGCTTCTCTATTATAACACCACTTGAGTTGCTGGCAAGCATGTGGCAGTCAACGTGTTAACCTAACGTCTAAGATATTAGTTAATGACTGCTTATAAAGAAAGCATTATTGATGTCATGTGTACTATATAATAATTGTTCTAATCAACTATTGGTGCCTTAAGTACTAATTTATTTCATGTATTTATCATCTAAATGGTACTTCATTTATCAGGCTCATGATGTATTAAGAAATACACATTATATTAACAAATTGGTCTTGTAAGTTAAAATATCAATGACCAAAATAACATTTAATACCTTTATATATCATAAATATCTTCATCAAATATGAGCAAAGATAAATTACTTTTGTGAATGTTTTAAAAACAAAGGTAGTCTTTTATAATATTTTATTTTTAATTTTTTTTTTTTTTTTTTAATAGTTAAAATCAATTGATTTCAACAATAAATTAAATTATTGTTATTATTTGATATTAGAAGGTATGCTGTTTAATTAATTGAGATATTATTGGTAATATTACAAAATTAAAAAAAAATAATAAAAACAGTTATACGTGTGTTTATGGTTTTCATTCATATTAAATTTATATAAAAATTTTTACAATTTTCAGATAATGGCATCTTGGTTATTTGGAGTTTCTAAAGTAACTGCTGAACAGATTGTTGATACAAAAGACACACCACCAGTTCCAACTGCAGTGAACCCAGAACCTGTGAAAACTTCATCCACAGAGCCTCAATTGCTTTATGATTTAAAACCATCTGAACCAAAAACTTCTGATATGAAGCCTACTAGTATGCTGGACAACATACCATTTGTTTTATCTAGTCAAATTAATATGACTACTAACAACTATAGTTATAATTTAGAATCTACTAAAAGACGTTTGTTATCTTTAAAAAAAGCGCTTGAATCAGATGCATTTAATTATGATTTTTCAAATGATAAAAAATTGGTGAGCGATACTTCATTGTATGAATCTTAAAACATCACTGTATATAATACACTTCAAATTAATTTAAATTACATTTGTAAAAACATGTGAATATGCTTCTTATGTTTTTAATTTACTTTTATTTTACAGTAATTTATTGTTCAATAATTATTAATAATCAAAATTAAACATTTTTTTGTAGCATTCCAAATTTATGAACAATGAACAAAAAGACAATATTAATCCTGTATTATTAGATGATGGTGACCAGCAATGGTTTCATTGTATTTGTTTTAAAATTTTTAAATAAACATTTATATAATTGTATGCAATATTATCAGCGTGATATGAAAAGATATTAATGAATAAAATTAATTACTAAATAACAACATTCAAAGTTATTTTTGTCAACCTTTCATATGATTCAATGATTACACTGGTGTGTTATATATCTTTCTGTGTTGTTAGATAAACAATGATATATTCTGTATAGTAGATTTGTTTAAAATAGTACAATATTCAACAATATTAATGTTCGTTAAAATACCATAACCACAATAAACCATTTGTTAATTTTTCTAGTGATGTTATTTGTACATATTTAAGTTAATTATATTAAATCATGCTAGAGATAGTTTTCAAAAATATAATATTATTTTTATTTTTTGTTCAAATAGTATATGGTCATTTATAAGTTCTTATATAATCAATCTAATTATGTACAAGTATCAACAATAATAATTAAAAATAAATAAATACTAACTAATGGTATTATAGTGTATAATAAATATTCACATTTTAGTATTGATTTTTTACAAAATTGTTAGTTCTTTTTAAGCCTTACTATGAAGTCTAATAAAAAAATATATATATGACAACACTAGTTAATATTTATTGTTGAGTAGCATTATAAAAGTTTTGTTAGGAATCCTTTAATTTTGGTTTATTTTTTTAATTTTAGTAATTTGAACTATTCCAAACATTCAAATCTTTATTCAAACTCAAATCGAACCATGCCTTTTGAAATTATATATCTTACTCGATCCAAGCTTTTTAATAACTATTTTCTATTAGTTTATGTATATCATATTCATTTTTCTACATTATACAAAAAAAAATTTAATATTTTTATCAAAATATTTAATCTAATAGGCTAATAAGGAGTGGTGGTCCATACTTATATATTTTCTTGTATTGATTATAGTAGTTTGTAATACTAGTTATCAAATATTCTATAAATAATTTATAACTTAATACATTTATCTTGTTATATGAATATATAATATTTACCTGATTATTATATTGTCAAAAACCAAAAGTGTGTATATCGAATATAATTAATAAATACAATTGTATCAGTTGAACAATTAATTTCAACACATTAATAGCAACCTTGATAAGCATCTAATGTTAATAGAATATTTTTTATAACAATATTAGACTAAACCAATGGTTTGTAAACATTTAAAAAATTGAATAGTTGATAACATCAATAGTTAGAGTTTTATCTAAAAATTAAAAGATAAATAGAGCTGGTGTAATTTGATAAATTTCTATTTTTTGTAAGAATTAAATTATTTATAGTTAAAAAAAAAAAAAACCACAACTTTATCTTTTAAAACATTCATTACAAGATATGATATTTTATTGTTTAGATAGGTTTTGAATATTATAATCAAATAAAATAGATACATTATTTTCAGATAAAATAAAGTGCAGTTTAATTCAAACATTGTTAAAATTATTTAAAAAAAAACCATTTTGATGTTGAACCCTCTAATGAGAAATCCTATAATGTTTGATAAAAATATATTGTTTTATGCTATTTTATAAAAAAATATATAAATTTGTCAGCACATTTAACATTATGGAAATTTGTGCTCGCTGTTTAATACATCTAACAATAATGGTAAAATAAAATAATTAACTTGAGAAATTTAAGCATGTTACTGTAATAATTTATGAATAAATTATATACATTTTTTTGGTTTAAAATTTTGACTTGCACAGGTATTTTATGAATTTTAAGCTAGTTTCCCTAGATTTTTGGGTTGCTGTAAATAATATATTTTTCATTGAAACTTTGTCAATGTTATTAAATTTGTTTACCATATTATAAATGTTTCTTTGAGACTTGAGTACATACAAGGAATTAAAAGTCTTGCTGTAATTCCTGAATACTAACAGGCACCTATTAATTGTTACCTGTTAGGTTTACTTTTTAATTTTGTACTTACGTTTTTATTCTACATTCTGGTAAAAGTATTTTGTCTGATCATGTTCATAATGTATGATTTTTATAAATTTTAAATACTAACTTAAAGTTTGACATTCTATAGTTAATAATTGTGTAACGAGTGTTGACAAGAAAAAGTTTCAAATCTGACTAAACCTAAAAGTTTTCATCAATAAACATTTTGAATAAATTATACCATTGGTTACTTTTACCCATCTAATCAATAAAAATATATTTTGGATGAATGGGTGACATATCCCTTAATTGAATAGCTGGCTCGGTTGATTTAGTTATTATAAGACCCATGCTTTCAGGCTCTTAATTTCATGGAACACTTGTAACTTTATTGTAGACAGAAATTAGGTATAATTATTAAGCTGAAAATCAACTTAAATGTGACTAAAAATTAAAATAAAAGAGAGATTGAAGACTTATTTCTGCTATATTTGTTTTAGACATATTAAAGCTGAAAAGTACACTGAACGTTTCATGATTTCTCCCATTTTTGACTTATTACTTAAGTAAAATAACATATTCGTTGGAAATATGCACGAATACTATAATATAAATAACAAATGTTTAAAAGCATAAAAATAAACAAAAATAATTTTTTTTATGCTGTTTAACAAATAATACATATTAATAAAATCGTTAATTATTATACCTTTTAATAATAATAATAATAATAAAAAAAAAAAAAACAAATAACTTAAAACATTATATTATTGTTTGACTTTAATTACATGGTGTGATAGTAAAATAGTATAGTTAAAGTTTATAGTAATTTGTCACAATAATAAATTGAAAATAAACACAATATGGTACAAAAATGTATTTTTTAATTTTTATTTAATTATCTAATTTTTATTTTTCATATAAATATTTGCAATTTATACAGCTGTGTGTACATTTAATTAAAAGTTAAAAATGTAATCAATAACCCAGAAAACTAAGCCCAGAGCTTTATAGATATATTTGTGTAATGTGTAATATTGAATATAAAAATGATAATTATAAATAAATATTAGGTATTTTTGATATATTTCCCATATGTAAGAATGTAATCTGCCTTTTTATACATTTGTTTTAATATAATTAAAAATACTAAATAAAATGCTTATACATAAAAAAAAAAATTTAGGAAAAAATAAGATATAAAAATACTTTTGATCAAATAGATAAATAATATTAATAACAATATATATAAAATCATACCATTGATCTAATATGTTTATATGTAATGTTACAAATTTGAATAATACATAAAATAATTTGTTAAAGTAAACAGTGATTATAAATTTTAGGTACAAATATATAAATTACACATTTTATAAATTTATAATATAACATAATGAAGAATTCTTAAAATAATTGTTTTTGTATTTAAAAAAGTAAAAAAAATATTTTAATGTATTATTTTGTTTCATACTGTGTAAAATATAAATGATACATTAAAAATGTAATAGTATTACAGACGAAATCTTTAATACAATTTTATCATATAATGATCTCTTGGTAAAATGTAAAAAATTATTTCACAAAGTAACTGTATTAGAAATACTTTCCATATGAATAAAGCCCAAAACATACAAACACAAAAATGATAAATGGACCCCAAGTTTTAAGCCATGCATTGCAACTAGAAATACAAATTATTTAAAGTTATTATTTTTTTTTCTTTTTTGTAAATATAAATGATTAATTATATTGATTTTACCTCACATATTTTCCAAAAATAAAAGTGTATAAAGCTAATTTAACCATATTCCAGTTTTTGCTTTTACTATAATTCATTAATGATAATGCCATGCCAACATGAGAGTGGCAGTTATCACACAGTAGATTGTGCTAAAATAAACAATCATTAATAATTTAAGCAATAAATCATAAAAATATTATAAAATAAAATTTGTTTATACCAAGCATTAATTTATTTTAACAACTAAAGAATAAAAAGTTTATGCATTAAAGTTAAATATTTTTTTTAATATTACCATTCTATTAAAATATTCAATAGATGCCTCATTAACAGCTTTATCCCATGCTTTAGAACCACCAATTACAGTTCTTATATCCAACTGCCAATACTTAGTAGGGTATCCAAAGGCCATATCATCTTCAGCAACATAAAATGATCCAGAAAAATCTCGTATTACTCCAGTGGATGTAGTGATTCCCATATGACCAATTAATGGAAATAACCAACTAAAAATTGAACAAATAACTTTTTTTTTAAAAAGCATAACATCAACAATTCATATTAGCCATAGATTAAACTAATTAACTAAAAATGTCAACAATGATTAATGAAAAAAAACTAAATTAAATCCACTTAATTCGCTAGAATTTTTTCTTTTATTTAAAAGTATTTGTTTAATAATAAAATATTTAACAACCATTATTTTTATATTTTAGCTATTTTACGTTGATGACGTTAATTTGTGCCAGAAAATCATTGTTTTTTTAATTAACTTCCTACATACATAACCATCAGTCGTAACTCATAATTATTAAACATACTGATGAAACTTTTAGGGTTGTCGGATATATGTTTATATATTTTTAATAATTTATGATAATATTGACTATCTTATAATAATGTTATGACGTAACAGTCTGATCAGTTGTAATCAAACACGGCACTAGAATTTTTTCTTATTTTACAAATTTCAAAACATATTTTATTAAAATTGTAGTAGATTTTTCCCTTATTAGATAATACTAGTAGGTTAATCCACCGTAAAAAGACTGAAGATGTTATTTATTCAAACTTCATTAATGAAACTATTATAATCTATACTAAATTTAATTTATTTAGTAGTGACAAATATATTAAATAAACTAAATATTGATATTTTACACAATATCTGTTTATGCACCAAACAGTAAATTATTGAAAATCTTAAAACATTAAAATAGTTAACAATAAAAATAAAAATAATAATAAAAAATAGTTATTATATATTAATTATTGAAACAATGAAAATACAAAAATGTATACATAATTTAAGCAATGTAGCCTATATTGGCTATATAATATACTACCTATATAGTTTTATCACAAAAGTAAAATAATATTTTTGTCATAAAATTGAGAAATTAAATTACCTCAGAAAATATTTAATATTTATTAATGCATTATGATCAGAAAAGAAGCAACAAAAATAACTAGTTACTTATTGATTTTAACGAGTTAAATTAGATTATTTTAAACATTAAATTCAACTAGTTAAGTTACAAAATTAAGTTTTTTTTTATTTTAACTTTTTAACTAGGTAGTTAGTGCCCAACTTTGAATGCAATAAACATAAACTGTTTTAAAAATTAATATTAGATATTTTATTTTGATGCATTCATATATAAATGATGAGGAATTGTTAGAACAAATTTGCTGCATAGATCTAAAACATTTCAGTAAAAAATATCAAAGAAAAACTCACCTTATAAATGGTATTGGAGTCCAGACGACACTGTGTGGATAGCGACGAGTATAATGTTCATCAATATCCATATTTTATTTTAATAAATTATACTCTTATTTATTATTAATCAAAGCGAATTTATCTAAACATAACAACATTAATATCTACTCAAATCCTACGCGTACTAATTCCTAAGACTCAAAATTAATTGTTTTCCAACAAAATACAAGAACAACAAACGTTATCACTTATCACACTAATTTATTTGCTTATCAATTATCATTTTTCTTAATTTTATTATTGTGATTATAACAGTATAATGACGTACATATTATATTATACTCATGAATCATGATCGTGATCTATAGCGAAATTAATGACATATGACATAGTTAGGTGTGTAAAAAGTATAAAGTATAAACGTACTAAACGTAGGTAAATTACTTTATATGACGGTTGATAATATTAGTGCCCTGGGCTATAGAGTATACTCTATAGCCTATGACTGATGCAATGGTTCCCACGATTCAGGACCCACATGAATTCACATTTTATGATTTTGATTTAGTAAAACTGTAAAAGTGCAAATTCTAAAAAGAAGCTACTCGAGGGCTGAACCACACAACATTTCAACAATATAACATCAAATAATTTGAGAAAATAAATTCAACTTATGACAATCATCTATATCGAAAAAGCTCACCAAAATCTTACGGCGTTGTAAGAATAGGTAACCCACCTACGATTATTAAAATGAATGATTCTTCTAGGAACAAGCAAACGATAAACAAACTATCTCAACTTAAAAAATTCAAGACCCAAAGCTTATTAAATTTAAAAGAGAAACAATCTCGATTTTAACTTTTTTCTACAAAGTATAAAAAATACAAAAATATAATTTATATAAAAACTAAATGTAAAATAATACACACTTATATAAATTAAGGGGACAGCGGGTCGTGTTTTAAGGAAATTAATATAGGCAATATAACATGATGATTTTAAAGTGACTTGTGTGTGCAATGTAAACGAATATAAGTGTGTGTGAGTCTTTTCTGGATTCGTTTTCGGTCAGTATTTTCTAGAAACCATATTTCGTTGCCACTAAATATCGTAAACAATGAACAAATTATGCGGGTCATAGTCACAAATATCGTTTTAAATGGTAAATCATTTTACCATTTTACTATTGTTTATTATAGTATATCTGTAAAGGTATATATTATACATTTTTTTATAATTACCTAATCATTCCATAATTTACAATAAATTTTTCAGAACACAACTAGTAGCATTCACTATTTACTGTATTTTTTGTTTGTTTTTTACTTTTAAATACCACATTTAAAAACGAATACTGGAATACATATATATGAGAATAAGGAGCTCTGATGAAGATAAGTATATAGTGGTCACTTGAGTAAACGAATTACCAAAACTTGCGCACCAAATACATAACTAGCGATTTATACAAAATGTGTTTGATGTAATAATTGACATAGCACGGTTGCTGCAATTAGTCACCCTCCTCAGTGTTTAAAAACCTACTTAAAAAAAAAAACCACCAAACGGCATATATATTTTCATCAATTTCACTTATTATTAAGCATTTGAAATCAAAATCTCTAAAAAATCCATTTTCTTTTTCATTGACTTACATCATATTTTCTGAGAATGAACATTCGAAATCCATATCTTTAATACGTTGAATTAATTTAAAAAGTACGTACGCGATATCATTGATTCTTCTAAAAATATAAATATTATCAAAAACTAATGTTACGTAAATATTCCAATTTTATCGTTGTTTAAAATATATTAGAATGCTGAGCAAAGTGATAATTGTATTGATCTTAGAATGTGTGTGTGTTTTTCTTCTTATTATTATTATTTTATTTATTATGTCTGTTATCACTATTTGGGATAGTAAAAATTCCCAATAGTATTCAAAAATGCCACGAAAAATAAAAATAAATTAGTTTAGTCTTTTTTTTTAAATTATTGTCTAAAAAATGTTTTTTGCTTTATCGAAAAACTTATTCATAACTAAGTTGTTCATAGTGGAAATTTAAAAAAAAGTTGAGCGTAAATTCACATTACATTTTTATAAGTGTCTGATGTAAGACTTTTGACAAAATTCTTCAAAATCACGAAAATTTGTAAAACATTTGATCACCCATAGTAGGTACATTATCGTTAAATATTAGTTACTGATTATAATGTACCTATAAACATAAATACAATAGCAAAATTATTTTTAATTTACAAACTGTTCTTATAATAGGTAGTGTAATAGAAAGTTTTTTTTGTATCGATTTGATAATTGAATTGATTACATTTTTTTAATATAAAAGGTAAGTGCTTTGTAGAGATATTTGCGTTAAATAATTAATCAGTAAATATAGTAGTATTATAGTCATAATGTTTGTATCTATAGTAATATATGTACCTAATATATGTTTAATGTTCATATATAGTTAGTATAATAATAATATAAGAGCCTTTTTTTCTTGGATATCAATAATTCATGTTACATTAATTTCGATAATATTAATATTATATCTTGATATTTGATGTTTGGAAGTCATAATTTGGAATTCGTTTTATTAAGATTTATATCGATGATGAGCATTTATAAATATGATGAAGTGATACATTCTATCAACTTATACTACTATGTATATGTAAATTATTACATATTTTTATTTTGTTATTAGAGCTAATAAAATGAAAAACATTTTATTACTAAATTATCAACCTTTAGCTAATACAAATCGGTTATATAACTTTAACAATTGAATAGTTAATACATTTTTGTGATTTTGACAAACGTTGACAAAACTTAAACTTGAAATTCTAATAAAAAAAATCAATCCTAATATCATATAATATAATATCAATTTTTCTTTTTAAAGTAACATAAGCTGATCGTTGATAGACACTCTTAGATCAGAATTATTTTTTCGTTTACAATGTAACGTACTTATAATATCAATCTGAATTTAACACTTACACCATGTAATGTCATTCGATATCTACTAGTATATCTACTATAGCAGGACTATACTTACCTATATTTTGTATTTTAAAAAATAACAAACATAACAATTTAGTATGAGACAAAAGTCATAAGTAGGGATGAAAAGTTATAGGAGCTAAAATAGACAAAATATACATACTAATATGCAAGGAAAAATTATGATACATGCATCAAAAATTTGAAAATATGCAAATAATATGTTATAATATGCAATTTTTTTTATAAATAAAAAAATGGATTTACAATAAATTAATGTCAATAATATTTCGATAAATTTGATTCTATTAAAATATAAATAATTTTTAACTGTATGATAAAAAACTAATACTAGGTATAAATATGAGATGATAAATGATTGGTTGGTGAATTGATTATATAATGATAGTCAGGTGATTTAACCTAAAAAAATAAAAATACAATTTTATAAGTCTTGTAATATATTTAATAATTATTTTTTCAAACCTGTAAATTTGTTGCATTGAACCATCAAAGTTTTTTTAGTATTTTCGACATCCAATCTCCGACGATTATCTGAAAGAATATTTTTGTATCGCGAAAAACTTCTTTCCACGTCAGCTGAAGTTATGGAGGAATACTTGAAGTAAATAAGATTATTTCCGGTTAAGTCTTCTAATAATTTGTCTATAGATTTGATTTATCCATTTAAAATATTTGATATACGTATTTCGTAAAATACTGAATCCAGTATTTTTTTCCAAAACATTATTTTGTTTTCGGTTTATTGCGTCGCCTACTTCACCAACTATGTCATTTAATTTATTTTGAACCGATTTAACGATAGATATTGAATCAATTAATAAAATATCTTGTCTTTCAAGTTGCGTTATTCTTGATGTTAAAAAACCATAATTTGAATGAATAAAAACCAAGTTGGTTTCTATAGAATTGTCATATTATGACACATAGCTATAAATAACGATTAGATAAGATACTAATCCTATATTTACTTTTATATACTATTAAATGTTACAATTCTACAATTGTCAAATATGCTATCTGCGTTTTTATTTTATTGATTATTGACTATAAACTTATACAATTCCATAAAATAATAAATAATTTTACTAAATATGTATTTTTATGTACAAAAAAAACATGAATATGCAACTTTTAAGAAAACTACCAATATATGTAAATATATGCAACATTTAAATACCAAATTTCAATTCATTAGGTTATAGAACAGATTTTTAGCGCACCTAGCTATAAATAGAAGATATAGAAAAAAATATGCAAATCCTATAACTTCTCATCTCTAGTCATAAGTTATTCTTACTGCAGTTATATAAAAAAAAAGGTTTTAGTAAGGTTACAAGAATTATTTATGATTTCAAAATTGATGTTTTAAGATTTCTGTCTATCATTATCTTTTGGAATAATAAAAATGCTTCGATTTTCAACTTCGGGAGTGGTTTCTAGTTAGTAATAAATTTGATCTAGTTAATACTTTATAAAGTCAAAAGTAAACGAATAACTATTTTTACTATTTATATTATCACTCTATAATTATGATAAAGGTTTCAAGATATTTTTAATTTTTTTGAGCTGATGGATATATTTTATTATGTACCATTTAAAATGTTTTTCAAAAGCTCACTCATCATATTTTTTTATAAGCGTTGACAAAAGATTAATACTTTTACATAATACATAAATAAATAATTAATATTTGCATTATTGACATGTGCGTGCAAGTAGGAGAGGCTCCGCTATTTATTTTGCACTACAGTTTACAGTTATATATAACTATACCGCCGCAGATATTAATGCAAGTTTTTTGAAAATTGCCTATATTTAACTCCTTAAAAACGGTTGGTGTCGAGTTGTAGAAACTTGGAACATTCACAATTATTTAAATTATAATTTTACGATACAACATTTTCAAAGTACTTTGATTTTAAATAATAAAAAAAACAAAAAAAAAAAACAGGAATAAATCGTAATACTATAGTTTTCTGCTAAATTTATGTTATTTTTATGTGATAGAAAATAATATATGGATTAATGTTTTAATAAAATATATTGATATTAATAAAAACATACACATGAACATGAATACATGCTGATGTAATTTACAGTCTATTTTGAACTATATTGATAAACATCTGAATTCTTTGACTTTTAAAATTTTTTTTAGTCGAACGGCTTAAAAAATAATTATAAGTTATTATACA